TAACAAAAACAAACGAAAAACAAAAATTAGAAATGAAAAGTTATTTTCATTAACTGAAATAAAAATAAAAACAAGAGTTTTATTTTTAATCTAGAACTAACTGAAGTATTGTGTATACTAAACTAACTGAAACTAACTAAATTATAGCGTCCTCCGTTTTCATCTTTGTAAATGTATTTAATACATGCTGTAAGCCTTTTCTATTTACTTTGCACTGACAGGTGTTTGACCTTACAGCATCAGAGTTTGTAATCCTCATGCCATTGGCCAGATCGAACCGGTCCTCCTCCAGGCATCCTCGCTGTTGTTCCGGCGACAAAAACAAGGGCTGGACATGAACGCAGTACGGTGACAACATTAAATACGACCCGAGCAGAGACTTTAAAGTTTTCATTTAACACATGTATGCCCAATAATGGGTTTTATTTCTGTATTCATGATCGCGATCACTAACAAATCATTCTTTTTAACCGGATCTTCTAAGCGAACCGGTTGAACTAATTACCAAATCGAACTGAATCAATTGAAATGATTCGCGTCTCCAGTAATGTTAAGCACTTATCATCAAACAGCATACTTTTTATCATGCCTGATATGCCCTCTGACTCGAAATAATCCAATATATATTGGGCTATTCAGAACAGTACACTAAGATCAGATTTGAGAAGCGGTGAGCTGATTATATTGCGCATGTGTGATTCTGTGAATTAAACACAAACAGTACATGACAGCCTGCTGTGACTGACCTAAACTTGTACAATTGCAGCGCTGGTAAATCAAGGGCTTAAATGAGAGGATGTGGTGAAACGTAAGTTTGTTTCATAACAGAAAGTCTAATGGAATTTAAATAAGTGAATCATGCTTCAGTTGGGTTGCAAAACTTTATTGTAAGAAACCAGCTTATGTTGATGTTTTAATTAACTGAAATTATGATTGCAGGCTACATTTTTGATCTGTTGAGTCCAAATTTGGGAAGATTTTCAAAAAAGATCTAGTTTCCGTTAAAGATTCAAACTTCCCATCACTACTGTGTATCTAACCTCAGAAGCAGCCTTGCACACATATTTTACTTAAGGCTGCCATGTCACTTAGTCATTTCCAAACATGTAATTTATTAAACTATTAGATACTATATTTTATCCATAACCTACAGAAGATAAAATAGTAATTAACAGTTATATTTAAAACGCCAAGTACATGCAAATAAAAAGCAAATAGATTTTTTTTTTATTGGATTGTGACCCCTGGGGTGTTTACGTTATATTAATGACACAGCAATAGCGTCAGTTGCAGCAGATTAATTTCACAGCACCATGGTAAATTTTGATACCTTTACAGAACGTTTACAGATTTACGTACATTGTAAATGTTTATCTTATGTTTTATCTCTTAAGTTATACCAAGGATTGATCTCCAAGTGACAGTCTCCATTATTAAATTAAGAATAGACTTGTGCAGCAAACATTTTGCCCACCACCAGTCTCATTAGGTGAAGTTAATATTAAAGTTAAAAAAAAAAAAAAAAATGAAATGGTTGTTAGACTGTTGAACTTTATTTGTGTTGTTAATATGCTTGTGTTTATGCCTATTAGTGTGAGTGCAATGTTTGCATGTTTATAACTTCCAAGGATATTGGGGGTTGTGAGTCACTGGAATTGTTATTTTAGTCATCATGAGCTGAAAAGTTTGGGAACCCTTGACCTATTGCAGAATTTCCATTAAATATTGTAGCTTATATTAGGCATGTATGGGATCGATTTATCAAAAATTACATTTGGAACGTGACTCTGTAGATAAGTGCATGATGTCTCGAGGGACATTTTGCTTGAAATCATACATTTGGATTAAAAGCTAAAAATCTAAACTTCAAAGCTAAAATTCTAACTCAAACCCACAGTGTTCAGTGTTTTACATATGTCAGAGCTGAAGCAAAATCTGCTGCTCTCTATCATTTTTTTCTATTTGTATTATTTTTATTTTATATTTTTATTTATTTTCTATTTTTTATGCAATGAAATACTTGGTAATTTATCCGATCAATAAATCCGAAAAGGCAAATATATACACCATCTCCCAGATGCTACCCTCAAAGAAATAAGGAAAGTAGATTAAAACACCTGGTGCAAAGTGAATGAGAATCCGTCTTTGATCAGTCAAAACACATTCTAATATGCCATGATAACACTCCCATAACCTTGTCTTTGTACTGTTTTATATATACTTTGCTGTCTCAGTCATTCATTTATTTTCCTTCAGCTTAGTTCCTTTATTTATCAGGGGTCGCCAAAGCAAAATAAACCGCCAACCTATGCACCATTTACGCAGCAGATGACTCTGTTGTCTGTCTAAGCTATTTTGTGTTTGGATTGGTATAGAATCTTGGTACTTTTGTCTAATTTCTGTGTTTCATTGTGAGCATACAGGTGTTTGTTCACTCAACATGAGCTCTTGTCATTAGCCAGCTTGTTTTCATTGGTCAGGTGCCCTTGTGCTGTTGTGTAGCACATGGTTCAGGTTTACTGTTGACTGTGTGCTTTTATATCATGTTTATTGTGGACATTGGGTTAGATCTCATTGGCTGTGAGAGTACTTGTGTCATGTTTGAAGTGAGCATGTAGCCTTGTTTTGTGTGTTTCTGTGTGGTGTGTGTTTTCCAGTCTATCATCTGATCACACCAATACTCTAAACTGACCATTGGCTAATTTACCTCAAGTTTTCCCTTTTGTTGTCCTCCTTGCTTGCTCTTATTTATTCTTCTTTTATATTCAGTCCATGTGCTAGTTTCTGCGAAAAGTTCTACATGATGGTAATAGTTTAATTGCGTTGTTTACTTCAATAATGCCACTAATATATGCAGACTCCAAGTCTTAATTCCATTTCTGTATAGTTCAGTTATGAAATCGCTGCTTATGTAGGCTTACAGTTCAACATATATGTTTAACTAAATAAACAGTTAGTAAACACAAGTACATCTTATTGAACATCATTTATTTTCATCCCCAATTATCATAGTAGAACAGTTTCTTAAGCAGTTTGTGATGCATTTTGGAAACAGGAGATGACCCCCTGGTCTAATGAGCCACCTGGCTTGAGAAACCCACTCTCAAAGACTTATTGGGTATACTTTGGGTAGCACACATATTCTGAATGCCTTCAGGAGAATTCAAATAAGCCATTTTATATTTAATATCTAGGATAGATTTAATATCTATGCCCACCTATAATATATATATTATACATTAATAATAATGTATTCATTATTAATACATATTAATTGTTAATTATTATTGGGGGGACATGGGGGGGATTTTCACTTTCATTCAGGAACATTTCATGTTCTTTTCAAGCCCCCAGTGACAAACAAGATATTGGCTGCGACTATGAACTGCTGGAAGAGTGTTGTTTTAATGGAATATAATACAGCACTCCACACAGGAAAAAAAAACACTCTGCAATTTGTGATGCGACCTCAACTCGTCGTCAGATCTTTTGTCCAATGAGATGCTGAAATGCCCCCATATCCGCCCCTTTTATAAACAGATGCTAATGCTGAAACACAAAAGCTAACTCCTGCAGGCACATAAAAATCATAAGACATGGATATTAGGTTAGATTTTGGTCGTGACGTCAGGTAACCAAAATTCAAAGTCTAGCCAGCGTCTAAGGACAACGTTATTTTGACGTATATATAGATGTCATAGTGGTAACGTCCACTCAACGTCAAGGTGTAACATGATTAGACATTGATATTTGGTTGATTTTAGATTGGACATTGATGTCAACTCGATTTTCATGTCCTAACAAAATCCAACATCCCCACTTCAATATGACGTCATGTTGATGTCATGTGCCTGCAGGGAATGCTTTTTCACACATTTATCTTTTTGCAGGGGGTTTACTTGAGAAGTGAACTGACCAATCATAGAACTCTGTTGCTCGTCCTGATTTTGCCAAGTGCTAGTTGTCCTGAGACCAACATAATTTATGATGACCCAGGGACATCATTTTTTTTTTTTTTTTTTTTTTTTTTATTGCTTCAAGAAACTGTATAATACAATTTAGAATATAGTAAAAGATAACAGTTCTTTTACACAACAATCATATTACATACACAAGATAAAAGTAAAACTAAAACACAGTACATAAAAAAAAATAAAATATAAATAAAAATAAAAAAGACAGTATAATAAAAAAAAAGAAATAAATATTCAAGTAGCATGAAAGATCTCATCATATTTGCTCAAGAAAGAAGTACATTTCTTATTTTCAATTAATCTAAGAGATTTAATTAAATGTTCTATTTCACATAAGAAGTCAATAAAGATTGGATTTTTTTTAAGAAACCTCTGTTTGTGAAAATAAAATTTCCCAGCAAGTATAAGAAAGTTCACAGTGGCTTCTAACGCCTTGTTTTGGTTTTCAAAATAGCAAATAACATCCTTAAGGTACAAATTACCACTTATATTAACCTTGGAGAAACAGTATGAGCTTAAATCATCCCAAAACATTGATGATACATCGCAAGAAAAAAATAAGTGACAAATGTCTTCACTCTCATTCTTACAAAATGTGCAAATATCAGTAACATCACAATATTTGGATAAAAGTGCATTACATGGGTAAATATTGTGCAAAATTTTAAAGTGCACCTCTTTCATTTTATTAGGAATACAGAATTTATATGGTAATAACCATGTTTTCCTCCATTGAATATTAACAATTATGGATCCCCAAAAAAACTTTCCTCTAGGAGTGATTGCGTTATGTGACTGGGACACTTGACGTATAAACTTATTATTGCATTCTTTACTAAGAATAGATTTTCCTCCTAGGAGTAACTGTGACAATTGTTTGGTACCTGTCTCATAACTAAGAGCAGCTTTCATCAGGCATAATAATCCACTAGGTATAGCCTTTATAATTGACTTGAATTCCATATAGCGAATAGGGAATTGATACATGTTTATAAAACTCTCATAAGTTAAAAGATCACCGACCCAGGGACATCATTTCTATCAGCCAATCAAACGTTATTACGTCATCATTATGAGCCTCCTGCAGAGTCCGCCAAAAACGCAAATTCAAAAAAGAAAAAACACACACACACACACACACCCACGCACAGGCAACTGCCATTTTCACCAGTGAAGAGGACAGGTGAAGAGGACAAGTGAAGAGGTGAGATCACCGGTTTTCTTCTATAAGTTTACAGAAGCATTAATGATTGTAAAATTCATATGTGTTTATGGATTTGTCCTTTTTTTCCAGCGAAGTAAACGAGCAACGTTTAACTTTTGTTTGCATTAAGTTAGCCTAATTAGCCGTCCCTACCTAACGTTAGATTAGCGTGCTGCTCTTCCGCTACTGTGATTTACTTTCTGGTATTAATTAAAACAAGCTAACAATATTGTTTTGAATATTTAAATCTATCAAACGTTATTAAACGCGTCTAAACTTACCCTCTTGCTAATTTAGCGACCTTTTATTCTAATAATTCGGTTTTTAGCATGTATTATGTCAATTTCATTTAAAGACACACCAACACAGCACTAAAGTTAGTTTAAACACAAGACAGTAGGCTATTTGAGGCGTTAACTACTGTGAATCACTGCAAAAATTCAACTAACGTTAGTGATTTAATTTAATACTTTTTTCTGTTAAATATGTTAACCTCAGGTCATCATCACTGATTTATTAATATTATTAATATGTTAATCTCAGGTCATCATCACTGATTTATTAATATTATTAATAAGTTAATCTCAGGTCATCATCACTGATTTATGTATATTATAAATATGTTGACCTCAGGTCATCACTGAATTATTAATATTATTAATATGTTAATCTCAGGTCATCATCACGGATTCATTAATATTATTTGTATGTTAACCTCAGGTCATCATCACTGATTTATTAATATTAATAATACGTTAACCAGAGGTCTTAATCACTGATTATTTTATATTATTAATACGTTAACCTCAGGTCGGCAATTTATTAATATTATTAATATGTTAACCTTAGGTCATCATCACTGATTTAGTAATATTATTAATACATTAACCTCAGGTCATCATCACTGACTGATTAATTAATATTATTATGTTAACCTCAGGTCATCATTGATTTATTAATATTATTAATATGTTAACCTCAGGTCATCATCATTGATTTATTTATATTCTTAATACGTTAACCTCAGGTCATCATCATTGACTGATTAATTAATATTATTATCTTAACCTCAGGTCAACATTGATTTATTAATATTATTAATATGTTAACCTCAGGTCGTCATCACTGATTTATTAATATTATTAATACATTAACCTCAGGTCATCACTGACTGATTAATTAATATTAATATGTTAACCTCAGGTCATCATTGATTTATAAATATTATTAATATGTTAACCTCAGGTCATCATTGATTTATTAATATGTTAACCTCAAGTCATCATAGCTGATTTATTAATATTATTAACACTTTAACCTCAGGTCATAATCACTGATTTATTAATATTATTAATACGTTAATCACAGGTCACAATCACTGATTTATTAATATTATTGATACTTTAACCTCATGTCATCATCACTGATTTATTAATATTATTAATACGTTAACCTCAGGTCATCATTGATTTATTAATATTATTAATATGTTAACCTCGGGTCGTCGATTTATTCATATTATTTCTATGTTAACCACAGGTCATCATCACTGATTTATTTATGTTATTAATATGTTGACCTCAGGTCATCACTGATTTATTAATATTATTAACAAGTTAACCTCATGTCATCACTGATTTATTAATATAATTAACATGTGAACCTCATGGCCTTAACTGATTTATAAATATTATTAATATGTTAACCTCAGGTCATCATCATGGATTAATTAATATTATTAATGTGTTAACCTCAGGTCATCATCACTGATTTATTATTTATAAATTGTTAACCTCAGGTCATCATCACGGATTTATTAATATTATTAATATGTTAACCTCAGGTCATCATCACTGATTTATTAATATTAATAATACGTTAAACACAGGTCTTAATCACTGATTTATTAATAATATTAATACGTTAACCTCAGGTCGTCAATTTATTAATATTATTAATATGTTAATCTCAGGTCATCATCACTGACTGATTAATTAATATTAATATGTTAACCTCAGGTCATCATTGATTTATTAATATTCTTAATATATTAACCTCAGGTCATTATCACTGATTTATTAATATTATTAATATGTTAACCACAGGTCATCAGCACTGATTTATTTATATTATTAATATGTTGACCTCAGGTCATCACTGATTTATTAATATAATTACATGTTAACCTCAGGTCATCACTGATTTATTAATATTATTAATATGTTAACCTCAGGTCATCATCACTGATTTATTAATATACAGGTCATCATCACTGATTTATTAATAATGCGTTAACCTCAGGTCATCATCACTGATTTATTAATATTAATAATATGCTAACCTCAGGTCATCATCACTGATTTATTAATATTAATAATATGCTAACCTCAGGTCATCATCACTGATTTATTAATAATACGTTAACCTCTGGTCATCATTGTTAATATTGTGGATTTTTACTTCATATTAGCAAATTCGGGTCAGAATTGGTATTTGCTAGATGTTGATTTCATGCATAAATTGTTTTTTTCTAGATAAGGTAAATAAAAGTAAACAACAAAATGCATTCTTTGGAGAGCAAACATTTGTAATATTTTGTATTTGTTTTATCTATCTTAAAGTTTAAAGTATTTATTTTTTAGGTGTTTTATGGTTGATAAAGACCAGGCTGAAATCAATGCCATCCGTAAGGTGTTCAACGAGTCAGACATTCTCCTTTGTTGGTACCATGTAACGCAAGTAAGTACTAAGTTAAGATACTGCTTTTGTTTGTCCTCATTTTATAGATTCATATTCTATTTTTATCAACTGTCATATTAATATATTTTTTTATGTAAATCTCTAACAGTATTACCATTCACATTTTTTCATCTTCAGTTGCTAATGAATCAGTGGATTGAGCTTAAGCTTATTTCACATTGCAACATGTCACACAACATGCTGTAATATTACTTGACATTATCTGGGTATTATTGTGCGTTTATGTCAGTCATCGATGCACTTAAGCAAAGAAAAAAAAGTAGCAATAAGCAATAACATAAATTGTTTTTACTTTGATTTGAGTACCCCTTAACTTGAAGCTTATGCTTGATCCTAATTTCGAATGTGTCATGGAAGTTCTGACCATATTAAATATGTTGTGTTACGTTTTTCCACCATTTATTACACACAGGCAGTAACTCGTTGGCTGTCAATATCTGAATCTGGTGTGAGTGGACCTGAAAAGGCAGATGCAAGAGCGCACATCATACAGTTTATGTCAGAGATGAAATGCTGTTCAAAGGTGTGTTGCTATTTGTTTTATAGTGCTTTCACACCTACACTTTTGTTTCAGAACCTGTCTCGTTTGGCCAGTTCGCGCGGTTCGTTTGGCATATGTGAACAAGGCAATTGCGCTCTATTCCACGCCAAAGCAATCGCTCCGAGACCGCCTGAGTGAGGTAGTCTCGGCTCGATTGAAACGAACCCTGGAGCGGTTCGATTGCAGTGTGAAAGTGAACCGCTCCAAGAGCAAAGAGCAACAATGTAACATTTGTAATGTCTTTTTCGGAACAACTGAATCGATTCACAGATGTGAAAGCACCCTTATAGTACAATTGTATGTTCTAATGTGTCATTCTACTTTGGTAACAAGCTTGTAACATGCATTTTTAATATGTGAAAAAATAATGTTAATGACAGCTAATATAAAATGGTAACCCACATACAGTATGAAGAGTTCAGATGCAAAAGTCTCTAAGTCAGGTCTCAAACTGCTGACCCTCAAACCATTTGCGGCCCTGCCTCCTCCTCCATCCGGCCCACAACTGACATCAAAAATATAATGATATTTGGCCCATCAAAACATATATTTTTGAATCGCTATCATTGTTGTGCTATCACATACTTCTGGTTTTGACTCCCCACCTACTGGACATTTAAAGTTACATTTTAGGTGACAGGGTTACTTTCGATTTCTCTCAGTGTGCGGTCAAGAGTAACACATGCAGATTATTTCCGGGGCTGATTTAAACATTGAAAATTATGTACGTAAGCGCTCTATTTTTGTAAATATTCAAGGGTCATTTGATTATACTCAGTTTTATACCCCCTGTACTTTGTTGTACAAACACCTTTTTATGGCTTACACATGTTTGTGTAAATATGATAGTCTTGCTAATATTCGATTCAAATGGTCTTATGAATAGATTTTCCTCGTATACATATTAAGATTTGGATAAAAGTGTATTAGTAAAATTTTACTGTTGGCTGTATTAAACATGTTAAAGTAAATATGAATATGTACATCCTTATCCCCTCTTTATTTTTACCAAAAAGAATGATATTGAGAAGAACGATTGCCAGCAACGTCAATAAAGTAACCCAAACTACATTCTACTGTCGTACGCTGAAAATTTGCATATTTTCCAGCCTTTATTGTTTATGCTGTTATTTAACTTTAAAGGCAATGAAAAAAACACACCTTACCACAAAAGTTCAATTACAGAACCTACACACAGGAGCTGTAGAAAAAAAAAATTCTAATTTTAAGAGAAATTTTAAGATAACACTTGCATCTGGCCTCTTCTCACTCACACACAATTACTCTCCTTCAAAAATGAATTTATGCTGCTTATCAACTGTGTTCAGATATAAACTAGGCTAGGTGTGCAGAGTTTCATAGATTAACTTTAAATATTTTACACACATTTGTAAGCATTCCATTTGTATTAACAATCTTAATTAATAATTGATACCTTTTTAGGTCAGTTTAAAGTACATTTCACAGCATGAGCTAAATGTTTTTGTTTTAAATAAAGATATATTTTAATTCTGTTCTGAATAACATTTCAGATCATAGATCTTACTTAGTCCAAAAGGAATTGATTAAATTTATAATAATTTGATTAAATGGGAAACTATGATGCCTTTTTATAATTTATGATAACTTTGCAACTTTTCTTTTTTGTTATAAACATGGATTGTTTGGTGGGTCTGTTTTAGTTACTGCAAATAGTATTATGTTATGTTGGTTTATCCAGTCATAGACCTACAGTGATTTAGACAGTATAAGAACAATAAAGATTCTCAGTAGATTTACCGCACACACTGGGGTATATATCTGTGTGAAGGATTATTTAATGACCTAAAAATCTACAGCAGTTCTTATGCTAACAACATAAAACATGATTTTCCTTGTCAATTTTTACAGGCACAAGAATTTAAGGAAAAGGCTGAGATGTTTCACTGCCAGTTTAGGAACTTCAAATATGTCTGCAAGTACTTTAGGAACAACTTGGAGACAATTGGTCATCTGTGGTCTAACTTTGGAAGATGCTATAAAAAGAGACTCTGACACAAACAGGGAGACTGGTCTGAAATACATGATACCCCCATGAAAAACGGAAGTGTTGGCAGGTGTGCTTACCAGTTTAATATTTGATCTGCTATAGTTAGAAATCAGACTGTTATATCTTTTAAGCGTAACGCCTGTTTCACACCGCAAGCGTCAGCGGTGCGTGTTTTTTTTTGGCGTCCATGTTAACAGATTAGAGCTTTCATACCGTACGCAGCAGCGCGTCAGAGCGAGGTGTGAGCGTCGCTGAAGCAGCAGTGCAGCGATAGTTTCGGCGCTGGGTCTATTTTTGACGCGCTGCTCACGCTCAATTAAAGTGACAGTGCATTGATAATGACCTAAATACATTGAATGACAGTAAAAAGTAACAATTTTACTCAATAAATGCGTCAATAATATCAACCGATTTATATATAGTCAATCAAATGAACTTAAACCATTAAAAACTGCAACAAACCTTTATTTCGGCCCGAACTACAAAACCAATAGTTAAACAATTTTAGTATCAGTTTTCTTGGCGAGGGTAAGTGATTTACGGGAATTGTAGTCCATAGCAAAGTGTATTGTGGGTAGTGTAGTTCGACATGCATGCTGGATGATGTGAACTCACTGTGTGCTGTGCTGCTCAAGCAGAGGAAGAAAGCTTTATTCGGCTTTGCTTTATGTTCGCTTAAGTTATTTCACCTGGGAGCTGTTTGCACTGTGAAACTGACAACACAACAAATAAGTAAAAGAAGGGCATGCATTGATCACTTTTATCCATCTCATCCTTTGCACGAGCATGAATTAACGTGCTGTTACTCTGCAGCTGGACACATACTGAAGTGGATCATGTAAAAATATAATTATAACTATACTGTATAGATATTATAACTATAGGCTTACAACATCCTGTCAATCAAAAACCAAATGACATGATATCACTGGCGATTGTCTTCTGACGTACTCCTCATAGAGTTTGAGAAGCATACAGTACTGTTTGATCTATAAAATTTGTAAAAAAGATTTGCAGGTTAAAGAAACAGCATAGGAGGAGGTTGCCGTTGGTCTTGTTGCAGATAAAAAGTTTGAAACGTTTATTTGTATATAGAGAGACATGGGTATCTAGATTGAATAGACAGCGATAGGTTGATCTCTGCAGCAGCTGCCGAAGAGCTGCGCGCTGCAGACGCAGCTGGTGTAAAAGGCAAACACCTGCGTGCTGCTACTGCTCGACATACGCGCTGCTCACGCACTGCTTTCGCTTGCAGTGTGAAACAGCCGTAAGGACTTATTATGCGGTTCTGTTGCCATCTTGTGGATAGAAAACGTCAACTGTCGCCGACGAGCTGTCTCTCAGAAATTCTAAATATTTTAAAATAAGCACTATTCTTGCAAATAAACTGCATAGTTGCAATCAAAACAACTACATTCTCGACTAAAAAAACCCTAAAAAGTATATTTTATTGTGTCACAGCAATAATATTTGTCAAACTGTAGTGTCTGCTGTATGTGGGCGGAGTTATACACAAAGGGTAAAAAGGTAGTACGGATGCTTATATTACTTAAATATATCACGGCTATCAGTCAATTTCAAAATCCAGACAGAACTGTTGTGTGTGTATGTATTTATGTATGTTTATATATATATTTATATTTACTATTTAAAATAGTAAATATATTAAATATTTTATTTATAAATATTTATTTATAATAAATATTTAATAAATATATAAATATAAATAAATATTTACTATTTTCCCAAGTGTATATAACCACTACTGTAAGAAAATGTCAGAATCTGGTACATTCTTTCTGCATTATCTTTGCTTGAACTGACCCAATCTAATCCTGTTTATATGAATTGAACCTGCTCCCGACCAGGTTTGAGCTACCAGAACTGTTGCTATGACAGCGACTCTCGGATCAGTTTTGAAGAACGAAATGATCCTGGATCGTGTCAAATCGTCATTATCCAAATCCAGCTAACTGAGTAATCCATGTACGAAGAACTGACCCCATATACGAAGAACTAAGAAGAAAACGCAAAGAAAACAAGTTTTTTTTTATTTTATTTTGTACAGTATATCTGATATCAGTTTAGAACATAACATTTACAATAGAACTGTCTAAAATGAAATAAAATTCTAATTGTAAAAACGTAATCTGAGTTTTGTTTTTGTTTACCACCTTAGTTGTGTACTAAGCTTATTTCAGGCAGTCCTCTAGAAAGGAAAAGAAAACATCAACTGCGAGAGGTCCCAAGAAATGAGTTGCCAAATCAAAGCATGATTCAGGGCCCAGGTTTTGCACATTTATCTTGTTCAATGCTCCTCCTGAAAAAAACAAAACAAAACAATAATATTACTTGCAATCACGAGTTGCCTGTTATACAAAATTACAAAAGATGCTAGATTTTGATTTTCTAGTTGATAAATTGACTTCTTGATAAAGGGACTAGACAACAGGCTGAAAGGTTTGTACTATGTTAATATTACAATAAAACACATCACGTTTAATAAAACACTATAACATCTCCAAAAACTGCTACTTTTTCATGCCAAAAGAGAGTTTGTGCTGCTGGGCATAGTAAATCTGAAATGGTTTTACACAAAACTAAAATCTAGAAGCTCAATCCTTAAAATGTGTATAAAATTATAGCTTTAAAACGACTTAAAGAGTTCATTAGGTTTTAAAGAGTTAAGGAAGTCTGAACAAAATATTTATTGCTTGTTTTTATGTAAAAAAAATAATTATATATATATATATATATATATATATATATCATCAGTGATGATATTAATAAATCCGAGATGATGACCTGAGGTTAACATTCTAATAATATTATAAATCAGTGATGATGACCTGAGGTTAACATATTATTATTAATAAATCAGTGATGAGGACCTGAGGTTAACATATTAATAATATTATTAAATCGACGAGCTGAGGTTAACATATTAATATTAATACATCAGTGATGATGAACTGAGGTTAACATATTATTATTAATAAATCAGTGATGATAACCTGAGGTTAACATATTAATAAATCAGTGATGATGACCTGATGTTAAGATATTAATATTAATAAATCAGTGATGACCTGAGGTTAACATATTAATAAATCTGTGATGACCTGAGGTTAACATAATAATATTAATACATCAGTGATGAAAAACTTGAGGTTAACATATTATTATTAATAAATCAGTGATGATGACCCGAGGTTAAGATATTAATAATATTAATAAATCAGGGATGATGACCCGAGGTTAACATATTAATAATATTAATAAATCAGTCATGATGACCTGAGGTTAACATATTAATAATATTAATAAATCAGTGAGGATGACCTGAGGTTAACATATTAATAATATTAATAAATCGATGACCTGAGGTTAACATCTTAATATTAATACATTAGTGATGATAAACTAAGGTCAACATATTATTATTAATAAATCAGTGATGATAACCTGACTTAACATATTAATAAATCAGTGATGATGACCTGAGGTTAAGATATTATTAATATTAATAAATTAGTGATGATTACCTGAGGTTTAGATATTAATAATATTAATAAATCAGTGATGATGACCTGAGGTTACCATGTTAATAATATTAATAAATCAGTGCTAATGACCTGAGGTTAACATATTAATATTAAAAAATCAGTGATGATGACCTGAGGTTAACATATTAAATATATTAATAAATTAGTGATGATGACCTGAGGTTAACATATTATTAATAAATTAGTGATGATGACCTGTGGTTAACATGTTAACATTAATAAATCAGCGATGATAACCTGAGGTTAAAGTATTAATGATAATAATAAATCAGCTATGATGACCTGAGGTTAACATACTAATAATATTAATAAATCAATGATGACCTGAGGTTACCGTATTAATAATATTAATAAATCAGTGATGATGACCTGAGGTCAATATTTTATTATTATTAATAAATCAGTGATGATAACCTGAGGTAAACATATTAATAAATCAGTGATGATGACCTGATGTTAAGATATTAATATTAATAAATCAGTGATGATGACCTGAGGTTAAGATATTAACAATATTAATAAATCAGCGATGATGGCCTGAGGTTAACAAATTAATAATATTAATAAATCAGTGATGATGACCTGAGGTTAACATATTAATAAATCAGTGATGATGACGTATTAATAATATTAATAAATCAGTGATGATGACCTGAGGTTAACATATTATTAATAAATCAGTGATGATGACCTGAGGTTAACATATTAATAATATTAATAAATCAGTGATTATGACCTGAGGTTAACATATTAATAATATTAATTGATCAGTGATGATGACCTGAGGTTAAAATATTAATAATATTAATAAATCAGTGATGATGACCTGAGGTTAACATATTTATAATTTTAATAAATCAGTCATGATGACCTGAGGTTAACATATTAATAATATTAATAAATCAGGGATGATGACCCAAGGTTAACATATTAATAATATTAATAAATCAGTCATGATGACCTGAGGTTAACATATTAATAATATTAATAAATCGATGACCTGAGGTTAACGTATTAATAATATTAATAAATTAGTGATGATGACCTGAGGTTAACATAATATTATTATTATTATTAATAAATCAGTGATGATGACCTGAGGTTAACATATTAAATATATGAATAAATTAGTGATGATGACCTGAGGTTAACATATTAATAATATTAATAAATCAGTGATGATGACCTGAGATTAACATGTTAATAATATTAATAAATCAGTGCTAATGACCTGAGGTTAACATATTAATATTAAAAAATCAGTGATGATGACCTGAGGTTAACATATTAAATATATTAATAAATTAGTGATGATGACCTGAGGTTAACATATTAAATATATTAATAAATTAGTGATGATGACCTTAGGTTAACATGTTAATAATATTAATAAATCAGCGATGATGACCTGAGGTTAACATATTATTAATAAATTAGTGATGATGACCTGTGGTTAACATGTTAACATTAATAAATCACCGATGATAACCTGAGGTTAAAGTATTAATGATAATAATAAATCAGCTATGATGAACTGAGGTTAACATATTAATAATATTAATAAATCAATGATGACCTGAGGTTACCGTATTAATAATATTAATAAATCAGTGATGATGACCTGAGGTTAGTATTTTATTATTATTAATAAATCAGTGATGATAACCTGAGGTTAACATATTAATAAATCAGTGATGATGACCTGATGTTAAGATATTAATAATATTAATAAATCAGTGATGATGACCTGAGGTTAAGATATTAACAATATTAATAAATCAGCGATGATGGCCTGAGGTTAACAAATTAATAATATTAATAAATCAGTGATGATGACCTGAGGTTAACATATTAATAAATCAGTGATGATGACGTATTAATAATATTAATAAATCAGTGATGATGACCTGAGGTTAACATATTAATAATATTAATAAATCAGTGATTATGACCTGAGGTTAACATATTAATAATATTAATTGATCAGTGATGATGACCTGAGGTTAAAATATTAATAATATTAATAAATCAGTGATGATGACCTGAGGTTAACATATTAATATAATAATAATAAATCAGTGATGATGACCTGAGGTTAACATATTAAATATATTAATAAATTAGTGATGATGACCTGAGGTTAACATATTAAATATATTAATAAATTAGTGATGATGACCTGAGGTTAACATATTAAATAAATTAATAAATTAGTGATGATGACCTAAGGTTAACATATTAATAAATCAGTGATGATGACCTGAGGTTAAAATATAAATGATATTAATAAACCTGTGATGATGCCAACATATTTAACAGAATAAATTATTAAATCACTAACGTTAGTTGAATTTTTGCAGTGATTCACAGTAGTTAACGCCTCAAATAGCCTACTGTCTTGTGTTTAAACTAACTTTAGTGCTGTGTTGGTGTGTCTTTAAATGAAATTGACATAATACATGCTAAAAACCGAATTATTAGAAAAAAAAGGTTGTTAAATTAGCAAGAGGGTAAGTTTAGACGCGTTTAATAACGTTTGCTAGATTTAAATATTCAAAACAATATTGTTAGCTTGTTTTAATTAATACCAGAAAGTAAATCACAGTAGCGGAAGAGCAGCACGCTAATCTAACGTTAGGTAGGGACGGCTAATTAGGCTAACTTAATGCAAACAAAAGTTAAACGTTGCTCGTTTACTTCGCTGGAAAAAAAGGACAAATCCATAAACACATATGAATTTTACAATCATTAATGCTTCTGTAAACTTATAGAAGAAAACCGGTGATCTCACCTCTTCACTTGTCCTCTTCACCTGTCCTCTTCACTGGTGAAAATGGCAGTTGCCTGTGCGTGGGTGTGTGTGTTTTCTTTTTTGAATTTGCGTTTTTGGCGGACTCTGCAGGAGGCTCATAATGATGACGTAATAACGTTTGATTGGCTGATAGAAATGATGTCCCTGGGTCATCATAAAATATGTTGGTCTCAGGACAACTAGCACTTGGCAAAATCAGGACGAGCGAACTCTGTTTGCTATCTGCCATACAGTGCAGTGCAGTTGCTAAATTAAAAATGACAGACTTAAATTGCAAATGCTAATTGGACCAAATATTGCATACCTGACCTAACATGGCTGTTTTTTGGTTCTAAAAGTGTCAGTTTGCTCTTTTCTATAGTAAATGCTTCATATAAAGAATAAATAATCCAGACAATGTAAATATGCCCTTCCTGTTGCTATATGTTAGTCTGCTTCTCTGGAAAGTTACACATGCATATCTTCAAAACCCTCCTTGAAAAAACCCTGAATAAATGTGTTTACTAGTTGAAATCTAATTGGGAGATAAATAAACAACCGATGGAAGAAAACATCAGAGGAAACGATGCAGGGAGAATACCAATTTGTGGTTATAAAAAGCGATAGGAAAGGAATCGAAGGTTTTGTGATAATTTGCTGCTGTGTCATAGAGCGGAGTTTGTATTAAGTGAAGTGCGTGTGACATGCGAGGCATTTGGTGAAGGTGGAGATGACTGTTAAGTGGTGTTCATGTATGTGCGTGTATGTGTGTGTTTGTGTGTGTGTGCTCCGT